ACATAGTCTCTAAAATCCTAGGCTCAGTAATCATGCATAGACTAAGCAGAACTCGGGAGGAACAGACAAGGGAAAATCAAGCAGGCTTTAGACCAGGTAGAGGGTGCATAGATCATATCTTCACTCTTCGACAGATTCTAGAACATAGACACACTTTTCGGCGTCCAACAATTGTCATATTTCTTGACTTGAAGGCGGCCTTCGACTCCGTGGATCGAAAGGTACTATGGCAATGTCTGACTGTGAAGGGAGTGCCAAGAAAGTACATTGCACTAATCAAGGCACTCTATTCAAACTCACGTAGTCGTGTAAGGGCTTATGGGGAATTGTCATCTGAATTGGTAACAACCAGTGGTGTCCGACAGGGATGTCCACTTTCCCCATTTCTGTTTAACTTCATCATAGATATGCTAATGGAAGTATCCTTAACTGAACGTAGTGACTTAGGAATCGACTTGTTACCAGGGAATAATCTTATGGACTTAGAATATGCAGATGACATAGTCCTGTTAGGGGAGGATGCTGACAAAATGCAGAGTCTTCTGAACACCTTGAGCAGCAATCTTCGTATGTTTGGCATGCGATTCGCCCCTGCAAAATGTAAGATGCTGCTACAGGACTGGACCACGTCAACCCCTAACTTAGTGATAGGGAGTGAAGTGATAGAACATGTTGACCACTTCACCTACTTGGGAAGTTGTATTAGCACCAACGGACTGATTGGCGATGAAATCTCAGCACGGATCCGAAAAGCTCGAGCTGCTTTCGCTGACTTACACCATCTCTGGCGTAGGCGTGACATCCGGTTATCAACCAAGGGACGTGTGTACTGCTCATCAGTTCGCTCCGTCCTTCTCTATGGCTCTGAAACATGGCCAATACGCGTTGAAGACATGAAAAGGTTGACTGCTTTCGATCATAGATGTCTGCGATCTCTGTCTCACGTTAGGTGGTTTCACAAGGTAAGTAATGTTGACGTTAGGCGTAGAGTGTTGGGCAAAGAGGGAAAATCAATCGACGAGGCTATAAAGTTACATAGACTAAGATGGCTAGGTCACGTGCTGCGCATGCCTAACCACCGCCTCCCCCGACGGGCATTGCTAGCTGATATAGGTTCAGGTTGGAAAAGAGCCAGTGGTGGCCAAACAAAAACATGGCATCAATCCATGAAATCCTTGACAGTTAAACTGAGTCAGGTAGGGAGATGCAGACTCCCGGGTTGGGGCCCTCGGGACTCTAGGAATCAATGGCTGGAGACAATAGGTGACATGGCTCAAAATCGTTGTCAATGGCGCAGATGTATTCAGTCTCTGTAATCTTTCATATTCCTTTCTACCATTACCCATTCTGTTTCACTCTTATATTTGTCAAACTCTATTGATTCTCTTCACTCATCTTCTTGTCTACCTCTGTGTGCTATTTGGAACGTGGCAACTCGAACTGCTGCACTTCGGTGCCAAGTTCTATGTTGAATCCAGACAGACAGACGCGGCGAGTGGAACGTGGTCGTCATTGCAAGGGTGACATGGAGGAGGTCGTATGAACAGGAGTTGAAACAGTATGGACTAACATTGATGCAGGTGAAAAGTACAGTAGAAGACAGAAGTGGCAAGTGGAGACGTGCAGTTGAAGCCCTATGTTCCACTAGGAACCCAAGGGAACAATGATAATAATAGTAATAATACCGTCTACTAAGAAGTGATCTGGCACAACTGGTTATGTTTTTCCCGTTAATCGGTTTTGTTAATTCTTAGATAAATATCTACGCTATTGCTTCGAAGAATATGTGCAACAAGTCACTCAGCAAGAATGCGGAGGAATCGTAATCATGAATCGCAAGGACTATATCAGTAAGATGCTGACTATACTATCCGATGAATGCAAGACCGATCAACGAGAAAAACATGACTGAACAGACTGAACAAAAGCTAACGGACACCCTCCGTAAGTTAAAGACTGAATCTCTCATCAGCAACGAAACTTTCGAATCCCTAAGACCGTCCGGCTCAAATATACCACGACTCTACGGACTCCCAAAAGTGCACAAGAAGGGTATCCCTCTTCGACCGATCCTCGACATGACCAATTCGCCTTATCACCGCACATCCCAGTGGCTAGCAGACCTACTAGAACCATTCAGAAAACAAGTTTCCTGCCACACAGTTCGAGATTCATTCGACTTTATCGACTCAATCGAAAACATCAACGTATTCAACAAGACCATGATCTCATTAGATGTCACATCACTATTCACAAATGTTCAACTGACTGAAACAATATGCTATATATGCGAACTTATTCATTCCAAAGGAATAAACATCGGTATACCCACCGAGCGTCTTAAAGAACTCCTGCTGAGGTACACCCTGAATGTGCAATTCTCTTTCAACAACGAAATATATCGCCAAAAGGACGGTACAGCTATGGGCTCAACACTAGGCCCATTGCTTGCAGATTTCTTCATGGCGAAACTCGAAATCACATGCCTCAAGAAAATGATCGATACCTTCGAAATCTATAAGAGATACGTCGACGACACTTTCATTATCGTCAACAATGAAGAAAATCTAGACGACACCCTGAAGACGTTCAACAACTGCCACCCCGCAATTCAGTTCACGCTGGAGAAAGAGTCCAACTCCAAAATATCCTTTCTTGACGTCCAACTAACAAGACGAGAACAGGATGGAACACTGAAAAGATCTATCTACAGAAAGTCAACATGGAACGGACAGCTTAACTTCCACAGTTGGGTACCCCTATACACCAAACGAAACCTGATCCGTTCACTCAGCTACAGAGTTCGCAGAATTTGTACCCCGGACACCGTAGAAGATGAACTGGACAATCTCAAGAGAATCCTCGTCGAGAATTGTCACCCAGAACGATTTATTGCCAAATCTATGAAGCCTAGACCACAAAAGCCGCCTATGCTTAGCGTCCCGAAAGAACTACTCTACATGAACCTTCAATTCAATGGAGATATATCTGCAGAAACACTAAAAAACCGACTGTTGCGCTCACTTAAGAAGACCTTCTTCGCAGCTGAACTACGACTAACTTTCTCCACAAAACCTATGATTCATGTGAACGTGAAGGATAGGCTACCACTGCTGGCCTCATCAATGTGTATTTATCAACTCACCTGCTCGTGTGGAGCCAGGTATGTCGGCTGTACCCAGCGTTCGCTTTCCAAGCGTATCACCGAACACTTGCCAACATGGTTTTACAAAGGAGAAAAACGATGTCCCCGCAGCTCCATCTTAGAACATCTGATAGAATCCGGACACCAAGCTGCACCCCAAACAAACTTCAAAGTCGTCTACAGAGTAAGAAGTAGTCTTCCTAAAGGTGTACGAATCAGACTTCTTCAAACTGCAGAAGCAATGGCGATTAACTTGCTGATCCCTGAACTCTGAGTACAGAAGAAGTTCGTTCAATCACTACACTTGCAATGGACTTAATCTATCCTATTACCCGACAAGTAAATTCTACCTAACCTTTTTTTTCTGTCTCTTCATTAGTATTATCTTGTTTTCTCAATTGTAATATTTTGCATTTTCAAATTTCTTGTTATTTACCCCCACCCGATTTATTTTCTACACCTCACTACCACTGTTACTGACTCGACCAACGATCAATTTCTAGTCACTCATTTATATTACGTCATCCAACTTAATTGCTCAATTTCATTGGCATTATTATCTACTCCACTTCTACTTAATCTCTACTTGTAATTACCTATGTTGCTACCCTGACCTCAGTTGAAACACTTTAGTCAATTATATTACGTCATCTAACTTACTAACTCAATCTTACTTTAGTCGCTGTCCAATTAACCTTGTTTCTATGTTAGATCATTGTTTTATTACCTGATCAATTATCTAAACTTGACAAACTTCATATACACACACAAATAAATATATATAAGTGCGATTGTACAGCTATGTGAATCAATTATCCGAAAACAGTCTTCGCTGAACGTTTTCTCTTTTAATATGTAGAATCACTAAACCTTACAAATGTTTGGCTATCGTGCATCTTCATCGGAGACTGGGAATTGTGCCATTGTGCTATTGGAAAATCAGAAGTTACACCCAATATTAGACAGATGAGATCCCCTTCCTTAACTAAATCTAGATGTTTCCAAACCTGGTTATGTTTCATTCAACATTATTAGCTCTCGTCGATACACACAAAATTATCCCGGATGATTAAAACTACTAAACTCATTGGAGAACCTGCATTTCTTATGCAGCTCTCCGTGTCAAAACTCAGAGGAAGTGTGACACAATCTTAAAATCCAGCTTCCAACCACTTTGGATTTCCTGTAACCTATGGTGGGTTGCGCAGTCAGAGTTAGTTGACTTATTACTACATGAATGAACATTCATTTAGACTCAACCTTCATTAAACCGGATTAACTTAGCGGTATATTGGTTACTGTAGTCTAACCACACACGAAGAAGGCTAAAGTAATACACACTATCGAGAAACACAACGCTTACGGTTGTACGGGATGAGAGGACAACATCGCATAATCAACTCCACTTTAAGTAGTTGAACACGCATCTTGCTAACTAACACGTGTTTTGACTATTCAGTTCATTAAGGTTGATGCAGCAAGAAATACATACAAAGCCTTAAAAATGGTAGATAATTTGACCAGCAGTTTTCATCACCAAAACACGCATAACAAAGCTATATAACAACGATTAGTGTGAGCGTCCTTAGTGATAAACTAAATGATAACCCAAATATATACAATGCGAAAAACACCAAAAGTAAGCAAAACAGGAAAGCAAGTGGGAATTTACTACACACTGCAGCAAAACCTTTTAACACCCATGAATATCCAACACTGAAAGAACTGTAGATAGAACATTGCAGTAAGCGATTATCGTCAATACGTCACGTATGGCTAATCCGCGTAACCAACATAAATTAAGCTACAGTTCATTGGTTATTCACGACTTATAACTATTCAGAAATGAACTGATACTTTGATTTGGCAATTGAATCCTTACAAAGAAAGTGTGGTTCATGTGATAGGTATGGATATTCAGTTGGTTATTCGGAATCCTTTCACGATCACCCTTATAAATATTTAACTTGAATCATAATGAAGGAAAAGTAAGATAACTATTACTACTTAAAACAATTCTTCCTACAAATTCAGGATGAGATTTTAGCAAAACAACATTGTTGTACACCAGGGTCATATTATTACAAATGGTGAGCCGTATAAACGTAAGGAAAAGTGTAGCTGACAGAAAAATCAAAAGTTCGGTGACTGCCAGCAATCAAATCCCAAGTGATACAATACATTAGTACATACTGAAAGTATAAGAGTGGCATAACATAAAGTGGAATGAAAGAACGACAATATCTCTGCATAGCAATTTAGGCACTTATAGTAATCACAGGGGATATGTACAGTTCCGAAGTAATCGAAAACTCAGTTCTTGGCTATTTTACGTCCTTTCTTAGGAAGTTTCACTTCATGCCACTCACCATCAGATTCAGAAGTAGGATGACTGAAGGATGGAATATGCGGTACACGTGGCAACTTCTTGGCACGAGATTCACCACCTGATAGTTTATTCGGTCTGGGTTGATCGACAGAGTTCTTGCTTCTCGTCTTGACGACTTCATGAACCACAGTCACAGGCTCTATAGAACTACTTTTACTTTTCGTCTGCTGCTCTCCTTTCTTGCTTCTCTTAACAGTTACCCATTGATCATTGTTTTCTTCGGGCAATGAAACGTCCTAAGAGGCTGTATATTTATATCACAACTCACCCTCGTTAAATTCTGAGTCATCTTAGAATCTTGGAGAGACACTGGGGCAGGATTAGGATTGTGTTCTGCAACTTGGTTGGATATCAGGACTGCAGGTCTTTTGGCTTCTCTGCGGTCATCATCCTACGGATTTAAAAAAATATTTATAAAATTTTCATTACCAAAGAAGAAGCCCTTTCATCCACAGTTTTACTTTTACTTTTTTTAATACGTGTCTTTGGTTTCTTCGTCGTACTACTAATTGATTCCTTATTATAACTCCGGCGAACAAGAAATAACGATGTGGAGGTAAATAAAAGGGCAGCCACAACGTATTTAATGAAAGAAACTTGAACTTCCGTGAAATATGACGACAAATCCCCAATTAACCTCGAAACAACTTCAAACATTTTGAATCAGACGTGACGCCAAAGAAAAATAGCGCGCCTTGGACATTCAGATCCAAATTTGTTTACTGAGGATTGAAGGCTGGACTTATTTATCACGTACTATTGAAGTTCCGCTTGGAAAATTTTTTGCCAATAATTTTTAATAAAATTGTGTTATATGTTATCTAGATTGAGGGAAATTCCCATTTTTCGGCTAGTTATGTTGGTGTCCGCGTCATGTGATCTGACTGCGACACACTTTTAGCATCTGGGTTGCAATGATTAGTGTTTCAGGCGGACTGTATCAAAATATAGGTGTAATGAGGAAGATAGGATAGTTAGAGGGTAATGCCATTTACACAAATCGTTCACTCCATGTAGAAGTTGCTTCTTTCGGCATAGTATCATCCAATGAAGACGTCGAAGTCTTGATGACATGATCATGTCACAGGATATCAATACAGCCTATTTTCGTGTGAAGAACAGTCTTTTTTGACAAAATAATTCTCTCAGTACTTGGAAATCGCCTGCAAATGCTATCAAAATCGTTTGTTGGGACCTAAGTTATCATTTAGATGTGCTTTTCACTCTATCTGTGGTTGGACAGGAATTGTGGTAAGTTGAAACGTTATCTCTAAGTGGATTTCATGTATATTGGCACTGATTGGTGCAGTATGCTATGGATTATGTGAATTAAATGTACAAAAATATCTCAACTTTAATAATATTGTGCCATTGTCTACTAAGCTGACTGATAGGATAACAAACGAAGGTGGTTGTCACGATTATTGCAAGTACAGTGCAGTGGAGAAGGCAATTACTCGTTTAAGTTTCCTTGTTGTTCCAATTAATGCAATAAATCATTACACGCATGAGTCGCGGTGATTATGAGAACTGAATCTATTCAGCTTGTAATAAGTAAACTAGGAATAATAAACGCTAAGGTTAGTTAGTGGGATGGAGATTTACTGTAGTATTATGAGACTGTTACTTTAGTCATTAATGAGATATTTGTCTGTTTCTACACAATAGCTCATTGTAAAAGCTTAGTGGGATTTAGCAAGTTGAATAATAATTCTGTACTGTTCGATACTCTAAAGTCACCTTATCTGGCCAGTTGCAAGTCTGTATACTGTTAAACACCAAGTATGTAGTACAAGTAGATGTAGTAACTTAGGCTTGATAGCTACTAATCTGTTAATATGCAGTTACATCATCAAATAGACTTTTCACTTGAAAAAGAGCTAAGAAACAATTTTTATTTATTTCTAATATGCTGTTGAATCATAGGATGTTATCTAATATCCATCATTTCTATGATCAACAACTGCGGTATATCCATATCTACTATATAGATATTAAATAACCTACACCTGTATGCAACTAATTACCTCCAGTGTTCCCTATTCATTTGGTGTGTGTACGCTAAACAAGTCTTTCATAAATTCTCCCAAAAATGCCAAACTTTCTAGTGTTACAAGTGTTAATAAGACCTGCTTCCTTTGTTTCGAATCAAATAACGTATATACGAACTAAGGAAAAGTTACTCTTACTTAATCTCCAACCTTCATTTAGAGCCTTTACCGATCCCAAACAAATCTCCTATAAACACAGTAGACGTACTTTAGATGCAGCTGCAGTCTCGCTTCACAACATTTCCTCCAGTATAGACAATGGGGCTAAATTCGCTGCATCTTCCTAGATTACACATCTGCTTTCGACTCAGTACCTAGAGATATTCTGTCAGATAAGCTTGCTGAAACCCAAACTAAGTATTGGATTGTTAGATGGCTTCATTGTTATTTATCAGGGAGAAAGCAGTACACTGTAGGTCAGGGGGAAGTTGTCCATTACCAATTGCAACTGATGTCAGCTCATGATTAAATCCTCCAAGCAATTGCATTTTTGTTTGACGAACTTAATGCACGAAAGCATACGAAAAGAAATCTTTCAAGCACACCGACGATCTAACTATTTCAATGTCTGTTAACTGCCAGCTACACTGTACTAAGATAAACAGCTCTCTATTAGGAGTCAGGAAATGCTCTAAAACTGAATCCTTCGAAATGTCAATCCATCGGATGGGTGTTAACATTGGCTCTATTACGGGCAGTCCTAGTGTAACAACAGAAGACAAGGGCGAAGCAACAGATCGTTTTATTATGAAAATCAACACGTATTTATACATCTTTCAACTACATTATTATAGACAAGCGCAGTCATCTGATTGGTTGTTTAGGTAGACAAACGCAGGCTTCTGATTGGTTGTTTCGGGATTCCTTGACAAATAGAGTTCTCTCTGCGAATCATATTTTGCCACGTTAACTTTGCTGTGATTGGTTGTTGACTCAGGCTTGTTCATATTTTCTCACGGCCCATATTAGTGACCTAGACCTTAACGTAGATTAGTGCCAACCAATCGGCTGGCAGCCTGCTCTCACCACACTAGTTCATGTATTTGGATCTAGTAAATCAAGCAATAATAAGCATAAGTAACGCTTACCCTTAAGAATTCCAGTTTCTTTTAGTTCCCCAAAATGCACACAAGCACAACAGATTCATACTTTTCATGCGGCTCAACCTTATTTGACTTAGATTCTCTCACAATACATTTTTTTAAGTGATAGCAGACACACTAATGGTATATTCACATTCTCAAAAAGCTTCAAAGCTTTTTCAACTTCAACCCAGGTTCTAAATTTTCCAGGTTTAATTTGTTCTTTGAAAACCTTGCTAATATCAACTTTGATCGTGCCCTTCTCACCAGATTTACTGGTGAATTGCTGCATGCTGTAGACATAAACGTGAAAGACATTAGTTTCCCAGATTTCTACATGGTAAATAACCAAATGAGCCAGCAACAAAACCTGCAACCAACAAATGGACTGGAAACAACTGCTTCTACCAGCCAAACATTTTCATGTGCATGATTTCCAAAACTTCTACACATTGCCAATTCATCAACAGCTGAAAACCAACTAAAACACTGAAAGCCGCATAAATACAAGGTATGAAACAATCACACCGAAATGAATGCACTGACCTGGTAGTGAAAACTTTCCAAACCAAAAAATAATTCATTTTAACAGCAACGGAAACAAAAAATGAGGTGAAACGCAACATTTGTGAACAATACGCAGCAAGATAAGCCGTGTATAACAGCAGGAAAAACAGAACAACAAACGCGTACACGAACAGCTACGGAACCTCAATCCAACATGGCCGACTAACATGAACGAAAATGACCTTCGAGCGTCTCACTCCACCAATGACCTAGATAAGTTACGGATAGTTTCAGCTGGATCGAAGGCTTGAAGTTTATGCTAGTCCTTTTCTAGTAAAATTCTGTGTTTTTCCGAATCTTTCTTGAATAAATCATTTGAGGTTTCAGACACTGCTTCTACTGGGAGCCGGTTTCAAGAGTTTATGAGTCTGTGTGAGAAGTAGTACTCCACAGCATAATGGTTTCCCGTTGGCTTTCGAAATCTCCTACCATGTGAAAGAGGCTACAGTCAGTTTCTAGGTCATGATGAGTTCCTGCGTCGACTAGTTATATGTTTTCGTGTATTCGTTTTCCATTGAATTTTAAAGGTTGTAGCGGTAAATAATTCCCCAAAATTATTGACCACAGCAATCACCCACCATTGGATGCTGACCACCACTGTTTAAGTCGACTTGTTTAGCTGAAGGCTTCCGGTCAAGCATCCCCGCCATTTGGTACTCCGTCGTGTCACGTGCACGATCACTAGCTAGCTAAGAGTTCGTCTAACGGCTTGTTTTGGTTCCAAAATATATTACGAAGTTTGGACGATCAATTATTGGCTTTTGCTTTGTCTTCGGTACGCGAGAATAAATTAATTAGAAGTTGCTGAACGAGATATCCGTCAAGCTCTAAAAGGTTTTTCTGGATGTTTTGCTCATTTTGCAGTGTGTAGGTCAGTTCTCGTCACTGGATGCTACTAGTTAGCTTATTTTTAGTCTGAAGTTCCCAGTTATTGTGTTGGTAGTCAAGGATTATGGTACACCTGCAGTTATCGAGCTAATTAACGTTTACTATGCTAATATAGTAACATATACTGTGCTAATAATAGTAACAGTAAACTCCCTAACTGTTCTGCCATTCTTTGACAGTGAAACTCTGTGCTGATTTTTCAGCTTGAGTGGCACTAAATCGAACCTACTGCGTTTGCTTGTCAACGTTGTTCCAGCCCTCCCAGGACATACTAAGCATGGACTAGCGTTACTCCAGAGCGGAAAGTTTTGATTCAGCACGCAGCTGTCTTTTTAAGCACGACCTGTGTCATTTCAGAACATGGTGGGTAAATAAGATCTTCAGCTACCACAAAAGGCATTATCGAGGAATAGGTTAGAATAAGTTTAGAATTGTTGTAAGCTTGGTGGTGCTGCGGTCTAAGTGATAAATTGTATTAATCACCGTTATTCAGGATATGCTATGGACCGGAAATGCTCGGCTGAAAAAACGTAGTAATTAAGACACAGATCGGTGTAATTTATAACGGACTCCAAATCGCTGTCATCACGAAACAGTCAACCAAAGTATGCTTTAAACTGTCGATCTCAACCATTTGAAGGGAAATTTACTTGATTTATGCTGACCTAGTATGCACAAATCCCACAGGTCATTAAATTGACAACTTAAAAAGTAGATTAGTTAATACATACATTTATCTATATGTACTAATTAAGGACATTAAATTTTCAGAAATTGTAGTTAAATTATATTCTCCTAGTAATCAAAAATGCATACATCCTATTTTGGACTTAAAATGAATACGTCAAAATTATTGTTGATTTATATTCACTTACTAGGCATTCTCATACATCTCAGTATACGTTAAACATCAACAATGCATCTAAATAGCGTGTGACTGTCACACTACACTTACACCAAAAAAATTAACACGCTATTATAATATAGTAAGGTAAGCCCTAAATCTTACTGATTGTAAATTTCCGTGTCAAAATAAAAAGATTACCGCTTTAACTTATATTTTAGACCAATAGGAAGCCAGCTAGCCAACGGCCAATCAAAATCTGCCTATATCTATTTTCCTACCATGTCCTCTAAGGTGTTCAGACACAGTGGGAAG